AGGCAATTGAGGGTTCGGTCAGATGACCTGCTTGAATATTCCACCTTCCTCAGGTTCTCAACGCCCCTCCATCCCAAGTAGGTAAGAGTTTCCTCAACGCCCTTTGATTCCATGTGGTGTCACCTAATCCTGTAGCAGTACAAAGTCTCCAAGAAGGTAAGGGAGACGACATGTGGAGGAGGATGATGTCTCGCTTGCTCGATGTAGCCAGTGCTAACTTCATGTTCGGGGCCCGCGAAGAAAATATCGGTTTCTCCATTCCAGGTACGTCCAGTTCCCACCATGAACTGGCGCCTTGGCGACAGGTGAAGATGATGTCCTAGACCGTGGCGACGTTGTCGGAGCTGCTCGATGTTGGGGGTCATCCAGATCGAGAGTACTGGTCTCCAGGTAGCTATCCATGGGTGACTCCATACTAGAAGTTTCGCAGCTGTTTGGAGGTGACATGAGTTCCGAAGGTCTTCTCCAGTCAGGTTGCGGCTGGAGATGACTTCATATTTTGGTGTACATGAAGGTGATGGGCGAGCGCCAGCTCCTGCTTATAGAGGAACATCTTGGGTATCTTCCGCCTGAATACTCGTAGTCCAGTTCTCTGATCTGGGCTGCGAAAAGCTTTGGGCTGATGATGTGACTGGCGGATCGAATGTCTTTTTTTTTTGCCCTCCCCTGTATGTTGCGGTGGGCTTCTGCAAGGTTCAGACCGTCCAATGATTAGCACGCATTCTCACCTCAATGATATGATTGTGGACGTAGTAACTCATCATCTGCGCCTCGCTCAGCATCTGATCTCGTGCCTCTTTGGTTTCTTGAAATCCTTTTGAGACTGATCCTTCATGGCATATCTGAAGTTTGCATCCATAGGTTTCACAGGAAAATATGTAAAATTTTTGATTGCTCATGTAAACCCATCGCGTTGCTGATCATAAATAGGACCTTCTGGTCTTGTTTTCCCCCATGTGAGCCAATCTATAGATGTGTTCAGCACTGACTCTTGTTTCAGTTCTGCGGCTCACGCCCCACAGCTAGGGGAGAGAGCTCACCTCTAAGGTGTTTCTAAGAGGGCTAAATTTTGTCGTCAATGAACGAACCTTCACGGCCACTGTGATCTTCTCATCAGGCGTCCGCGCTAGTACTCCTTTATAGACGTTACAGAAATTACCCTTGCCAAGGAGATCCTAGAACAGCTCCTGTGTTGGTTTGTTGATCCAAATGAAATGACGCAACTTCAGAGGTGTATATTTGAGGGAAATGGCGTAATTAGGCACTCCATTTCCGAACCGTTGAGCATGGAGGGCTTTGATGGTCTCGGGCTCGGCGTTTGTGAGATTCGGCCGCCAGACCGCACTTATGGTACATGGCGCTTTTAGCTCTTATACCTCCTCCGCTCACTACGTATCGTCGTTGAGCGGAAGCAGCCTGTGAGGTCGCATCTGGGTCGTTGCGGAAGGAAGGGTGTATCTGGCAGAACAGAAATTTTTCCGATTGTGGATTTTTCCCCTTCCACGCGCGTCGAAGGTGTTTACCACCAATTGTCCCCTTGAAGGCCAAAACCTGGTCTTGTGACTTCGTGCTTCAATCGAGCGTGTCCCGGAATTCTGTGATCCTGGAGGAGAAGCAGGCAAGTGATGATGGGGTCGTGGAGGAGGTTGGATATTGGGAGGGTCGTACTGGCACCGCCATCCCGGCGCTGTCCCCTATCCCAACAGAGTGCTTGGGAGATGCGTCTGAGCACGGGAGTCCAGTGAAAGAAGAGACTACTGCAAGGAAATCGGTTAGCTCTGTAGCTCTGAATGATACCAACCTTATCTTTGTCAAATGTAACATGTTCATGCTTAATCAACCAAGTGGGTCGTGTAATTCCGTGCTTTAATCGAGCGTGTCCCGGAAGTCTGTGATCCTGAAAAGAAGTCGTGCGTTAGCAGTGCGTAGACTTTTTGACTTTTACCTTTTTATTCCCCAAAACACATTACTTAAAGTTTCGGCAGTGCTGAAGGCAAACTGTGCTCTCACCTCCGAGGACTTACTTGCTATGAGCGAAGTGAATAGGGTCGCTGACGTTCTACGTTCTCCGGTCAGAAGTGCATAGCAACGATGCGGGACGCCAGTGGTACTTAGGGGCCGTCTCCTCTGGGTCAGGCATTACGCCTCAAAATATGGGGTGGGAGAGGGGGTTTGGTACGACATCCCCCTATTAAGGAATGTCCGTACGACCACCTTCCTTAAGTGGCTGGTGAGTGTGTGGAGGTATCTGCTGTGCTCCAGGATTTAGCTATATATGCTGTGCTGTGCTTTTCAAAATTTTACCTACTGAGTATGAGTATCTAAGAACATTTACCAAACCAGGCGTTCAGAGTC